CAAATATGCTTTGTGAAAGTAGGGAGCTAATATTTTTGTTTTAGATTTTTAAAAATATATATAAATGTGGGCAAAAATTAGGTTCAAGTGGTCAGATGACAAATGTCTCATCTAATCCTCAACACAGTAGAGTGACTGGCTCCAGGGCTAAAACGGGAACTTCTGAGGAAACAGAGAGAATTGGTGAATTCCATTACACTTAATCACTGCTCTGGGTCCAGCATGCAGATTTCTCCACACCAAGAGTGGAAATTTTGGTCTAACCCAAAACAGTAAAACACTTTAAGGCAGAGCTGACACTACAACTGCATGGTTTTGTCAAATACAGAATAGACCAAAAACTAAAAAAAAAGAGGAAAAAAATAACCGTGACCCAATCATTCTCCTGAAAAAAAATTCTACTCAGCATCCCTACCAATAATATACAGGTACAAGAATTTGACTAATTTTGAAAGCTCTTCTTTCCATGTGCTTTTTTTTAAGCTATGTTTAAAAAGAGGGAAAAAAAACACTGTTGCACGCATCTTCTAGTAGGGTTAAGCTTAATGATATTCTCTCAAAACCATTTTGTTCTGGCTGAAAAACACAGACTGATACAAACATTTGGCAGCCATTGTCGTTCATCCGGTTCATGACAACACTACTTGACAGTCAACTTCACTGAGCCGGCCAGTGTTCATGACGACCCGGGAAGACTCAAGCTTGTACAGAGCCTTTGACGATGATCAAATGTGGCAACACAGAAGTGAGTAATTATTAGGTCAACAAGGTATGTCAGTTCCCACTCACCCTTTGTTGAATCATCCCCCTCTAGCATTGCCAAATGTGATGGTATAAATGCTGAAATCTTTAGTGGAGAACAGCAACATGAATACCATTTTCAAGCATTTGACTTCATACTTGAAAGCAATTGTTCCCAACTGTCGTGACTATCAAACCAATAACCAATTTTTAAATACAGCGGGCCACCACCCCTCGCGGGGAATAAGGACCGAGCGCGAAGAGAGAATACCTGTGATTCTAATCGCCTATATTAACAGTGCCACAAGCTATGATTCCAAAACCATTTCAAACAAGTATATCTTCAAATATGGCCTGTGCCCTTAATTAAAAGCAGAGCTATAGCTTTGCACACATGCATACCATGTGCAGTACCTGTACATACACGCAAACAACACTGACAGCGATGACAACGATGAATTACTGTCATAGTGCAGTCTGGTGTAAAACAATGAACATTTAACTGCCCAGCAAAGCGCAAGAGTTACATGGATGATGGTGAAAAGGAATGAGAACTTGATAGGATGAAGTAAAAAATAAAAAAATAAAACAATCGGCACCCACCTGCCAAATTGGTCCATACCAAAAAAAAAACAAAAAACAAAAAAAAAAAAAAAAGCCTCTCTCTACCATGTATGTATGCAGATACCGTTTTGCAGCTGCCATATGTATCAGTAACAATTTATAAAGTGCAAATGTGTAAAACCGCTGAAGGCAACAGAACCTTAGACCACCTCGACATTGACACCCCTTTTGTCTTTTCCCTTTAAACAGATACACAGTACGGTTTCATTATGCAGCCAGCACTGCCTGGTGACAACATGGTCGAAGAAAAAAACAAAAACACACGGATTCTGATCTAACCATCCTTATTCATCTTGCATGGCCACAAAGCGGATATCCAATATATAAGTGACGATTAAAAAGGCCACAAATCCAACTTGGTGGGGAAAATGCATTTCTCTCTCCACAAAAATGCATTTCTCTTTCCGAGCTACCAGCCCAGGGTGTACCCCAACCTCTTGTCAGATGGGATAGGTGCCATCTTGAAAATAGAAAAACAATTAAAGTTATGGAAGTTTCAAACTCAGATTCAACCATAAAAGGTCATACCTAAAATCTCGGCCACCACTGACTTTAAATGAAGACGCTGACCGGGAATTTGTGCATTTTTATTGCTTTTAAACAGTTATAACTTCCATAATATTTGTCACAGTGAAACATTACTTCTTGCATTGGGATCTTTTTAAAAGAGCTGTCTGATAATGCAAATCTCATGTAAATCAATTCATCTTTGAAATTACCTACAAACATATTCAAATTAAAAGTAGATATGTTCAGGTTCATCCGGACATTGACACAATTTTCAGTGTTTCAGCTCTCTACAACACCACATCCATCCATCCATCTATCCATCTTCTGAACCACTTTATCCTCACAAGGGCGGCCCGATGGTCCAGTACCGGGTTCAATTCCAGCTTCGGCCTCCCTGTGTGGAGTTTGCATGTTCTCCCCAGGCCTGTGTGGGTTTTCTCCGGGTACTCCGGTTTCCTCCCACATTCCAAAAACATGCATGGCAGGCTGAGTGAACACTCTAAATTGTCCCTAGGTGTGAGTGTGAGCGCGGATGGTTGTTCGTCTGTGTGTGCCTTGCGATGGCTGGCAACCGGTTCAGGGTGTCCCCCGCCTACTGCCCGAAGACAGCTGGGATGGGCTCCGGCGCGCCCCACGACACTTGTGAGGATAAATCCATCCATCCATCCATTTTCCGATTAGAAGGCGGGGGACACCCTGAACCGGTTGCCAGCCAATCACAACACCACAATGGATTTTAAATGAAATTATCAAGATGTGCTTTAAGTGCAGACTTAGAGCTGTAAATTTAGGGTATTTACATCCAAATCAGGTGAACGGTGTAGGAATTACGACATTCTCTAGATGTGGCTCCAACTTTTTCAGGACTAAAAGTAAGTGGACAAATTAACATGAATCAGATTGTGTCACTTTTCAACTTTATTGTTGCAACTTGTTTATTTAGTTGTAAATCCTTTGTAATCAAGGAGAGCCTGAAGTCTCAAGGCCACGGATGCCGGATTTAATCTCTGGTCATGCTCTGCCAGGCCTTGCTATAGCCGTCTCCAGTTCTTGATTGTTTTTGGGGAATTTTTCTGTCAGTTTTGTCTTCTCGAGTGAAACGTTTTTAATCAGATTCAGGTCCGGTGATTGACTTGGCCACTGCAGAACATTCCACCTCTTTGCCTTTAATAACTGCTTGCTTTTGCAGTATGTTTGTGTCCTAGTCCATCTGCATTGTAAAGCGCCGTCCAATTAGTTTGAAGCATTTGGCTGAATAAGAGCAGATAATCTTGCCCAAAGCACTACAGAATTCATTCTGCTGCTTTTGTCAGCAGTCACATCATAAATTTTACATAGAGATCCAATTCATGCCCACACCATGACACTATAACTACCATGCTTCACTGATGGTGTGGTATGCTTTGAATCTTGAGCAGTTCCTTCCCTTTTCTAAACATTTCTCTTTCACTCATTGTGGTACAAGTAGCTCAGGGGTGCCCAACCTTTTTTGACCAGATATATACATTTTTCGATCAACCCATTACCGCACACGCACGCACTTACCCTGATGAGCAATAGCCATAACTGCCCCTCAGATGAACGAAACAGAAAAATAAAGTAGACACAAAAGTTTGTGAGTTGGTGAAAAGCAAATCACTGCCTACCTTAGTACAGACCTGACGCGGAGGCATGTGACGCACTTTTGCAGCATTTTAACGATCGTAGCTCACGTGTACCATTTTAAAGTTCTTCTCCAGGCAGTCCAGATTCCAATTCTTTGCAAGTGCCCTCAGTGAATTGTATATGAAACAAACTCTGAATGAGAATAATAATAACAATAAAAGATATAGCGCAACAGCTCTGATCGCGAGCTGCAATTCCAGACTGCTGCTAACAACTTCCGGTGATGCAGGTCACGCGCCACCGTGGTTCAAAGGTGACCTGCTATTTTATTAATACGTTTCATGAAAGTGAGACTGATAGGATGCTATGGGTGCAGTAACACAAATATATATCATATTAATAACACGCACACAGGCACACAAATGTTTTGGTTTGAGGGTTTTTTTTCCCTCTACACCGCCTTGGGAGTAGTCCGGGAGCTACCGGCCAATCGCAATCGACGTATTGGGCACCCCTGAAGTAGCTCTTTGTCTCATCTGTGCATAAGATTTAATTCCAGAACTATACAGGCTCTTTTAGAAGTTTCTTGGCAAGCACTAAATTTCCTGTTTTCCTGTTTTTGAGGCTCATCAATGGTTTACACCTTGTGGTGAAACCTTTGTATTTCATGTGGTGACGTTGCCTCTTAATCATTGATTTAGACAGATGCACCTACCTCCTGGAGAGTGTTCTTGATTTGGACAACTGTTTTTTGTTTTTTCACTGTGCATACAGCTCCAACTATTTATGAACCTGACTCTCCATATTTTATTTACTGTTTTTTTTTTTTTTACTTACACGAGTAACTAACTATTTGATGTTCTTTCAAGTGAGCAGCTCTGTAAAAACGAGTTTGTCTGAATGAGAGTTAGTTGAGACAGATGCATAATATGCTTCTTGAAGCCCTGGCAATAACCACACAAAAGCGTGTCTCGCCCAACAAATCACCTAGAATGCAACCTCACATTATTCTGGAAAGTCAGACATGTCTTAAAAAGAGCTTAAAACTTAAACTGGTGTGGAAAGTCATTGGAATACACCACATAACCTACGCATTTTAGGTTGCATCTTCTTAAATCTGTTGCCTGGATTCATGAAGTTGCTGCAATACTGTACTGTATCCAGCACCGTCAGTCGCGCCCGACCATGTTTGACTGGAAGCACACAGTAACGTACTCAAGTGACAGTGACATTAGTTGCCTCAAGTCCGACGAACTTGAATGCAGTGAAAGTTAGGGTTGCTACATGCTAGCCTGGGGCAGGCTAAGCTAGCTGACGAACTTCCCTCAAACTTTTTTTTTTCTTCCCAAATATGAAGCTCGCGTATAAGCATCGACTGTGGCAACATCGGTGAAACACTAACAACTGCGCCGTCCCTTGTCTTGTGCATACAAATCGGGGGAAAAAAAAGTTGAGAAACAGCGCCTTAGCTGCTCCAAAGTAGTTGTGCTAAATTCATGGTCAGCTGTGTGAGGACTTACCAGGAAGCAGGACTCTGTTGCTAAGCTATTCCTTCTTCACGCGCTGACACGCCACTGATTGTTACGGTGCTCGTCTCCTTTCGGACTTTCCCTTTCCTGTCGAAGGGCACGAGTGGGGGAGTCGCCTTGACAGGGCCTCTTGCTGCGTTGCCGAAACGCTGAAAAGTTTTTTTGAGGGGGGTTTTGTGGGGGACGGCAGAGAAAGTGCTGCCGCTGCCGCTGCCGCTCCTGCGTCAGTGAGGTTGTGAAAGGCAGGCAGGCACTTCGACCGCTAGGCCCGCCAGCAGCAGTCAAACTCCTGACCCGCGTGCCACCAATGTAAACAAGGTAGCATTCTCGGAAAGCTGTCAAATACCGCGAGACTCCACACTGACGCTCCAAGCCTCCAGTATCGGCCTCGTCATATATACAATACAATCCAATACAGTACATCGTTATTTATTTAGTTCTTTCACAATAGCGGCAACTGTAACAAAGCGCTTTTCGTTTCTCATGTCTTCCTTGACATGCCGGTTTGGTTTTTGTTCTTTATTGTTTAGCCATCCAACGAGCATGCCATACTTAAAATAAATGTAAATACATTCACACAGAGCCAGACCTTCCTGTATGGCGTTTACAGGATTGGGTTTTAATTGAAAATAACCAGTTGCCTCGAAGGACCACATGAGTAGCCTGTGGGTCTTTTCCAAAAATAGCTTACCCGTAGTGGGATATTGTGAAGTACTAGGAATATTGTCAACGTGATTTAAAGTCTACAGATTTAGAGATTAGTGATTTACAGATTTAAAACATTTCATATTTAGCAAGAATGGACCGGCCATCTTCTGTACAGGGCAGATGCCCGGTGGGCCAGCATCTTTTGGGGCTGATAACTTACTATTCTATTCTTGTTTTTCTCCCTTTCACCCCAAGAGACCAGCCCACAATTTAGAGGGAGGAGCCCATTCATCAGGGACTTACAATAATAGCCTGGACTGCCAGTCGCCTCTTGCAGCTGAAGCCAGAGGGCAGCCATCTTGCTTTGCCACTGTTACTGTCATCACTGTGGCTGCATCGGCCATTCAGAGTATATTTTCTCAGTACAGTATAGTAAAACATGACTTATAGAAATTAGGTTTACATTTCACAGCGATTTTGGTTTTTTTTTTATTGTTGTTGTTGATGGACTTTCCTTCCATTTCATTTTTCATGGTTCTGACTGTATGAATCTTTGATTAAGACTTTTAGATACATTACATGATTTAAGAGAAAATGTATAATTGCATTCAACATGGCTTTAAAGCTTCTCCAAGACTTATTGGTACATCTGTATGCCACACATTGTGGCATTTTCACCGTCGAGACAGAAAATAAAGTGAATACGCTGCGGTGAAATCAATGTATTTGTGTTAAGTGCGTTTTACGATTCTCAATACAAGACGGCCACCAATGGCTTCACTTCAGCACTTTTGTTCTTTTCATCACTTCTAAAGGGACAGGCTGAGAACCAAACCTCCATCATCGAGTTGGTGAAAGGACTTTTCTTAAGGATACTGTGTGTATAAAATGTTTGGTTTGGTTGTCTTTGAGTAATTTAATGAAACATAATGGTTAGCCTGCTACTAGATGGAAATGCGCTATCCATATCACCATCAATAAAGAACATCTATGCCATTATTCAGAGCAACAGAAAAGTTCCAGAACTTTTGTGTCACAACATGCAAAACATTTTAGTGTCAAACCATAGCCATCACACCGACCACTCCAAAAATAAAATCTGACATTTTTTTTCCAAACATTCTAGCCAAATTCTTCTTTAACACAGTAAAATTAAATATATTCTTTTTTTTAAACTAGTGGTTGTGTGCCTCAACATTTAAACTAAAAGCTGAACATTTTATTTTGAACGGGAATGATTATCCGTCATGACTGTCAATGTCGAATCCTTTGGGTAACGGATGAGAACAAACACACACAGTTACTCGATATCCACTCTAGCTTATGTTTCACGGCTGTATGCGAAGTATTCCAAACGCTTTGTATAATTAGGAAAATCATGAGGACATATTGACAAAAACAGAAGTGCAAATTGGAGGCTGGCATGTGGAATTGATCAGCTTACATGACTTTGATAAAAGCTTGCTGCGCTCATTCCTTTCATACTGACAAATTCCAAATACTCGTGAGCCACTGAAAACACATCCATCTTGCCATCCGCATTGTTAATAATCAACAAGTTAGGTGGGATGTTGTTTTTTTTTCTCCATACTTCAATCGCCTTTTTGTTAACCTCACTGCAAATATGGAAAAGGGAAAAGGGAGCGATGCCTGCAATGTACAGCCCCCCACCCTCCAAGCCCCCCCCCCTCCTTTTTCTTCAACAACGGTTGAAGATTAAAAGAAACGTCTTGCAGATATCTGTCAATTCGCTATGTGAATAATGCTGTGTGGAATTTAATGGCACAAGTTAAATTGGGTTTCCACTACACCCACATTTTCTCTCAATAAGATCAATGGCGCTCTGTGACAGATAGGGACGGTCTTTTGTATCTTCAAATTTCAGGTTTCTGAGGGAATAATTAGATGGATGGATGAGAAGTAATGCAGCAGTCTGCTCGGGGAGCTGCACCCAGAGATCCTCTAGTTCAACACGCGTGCCGCCATGTCTGTTTGGTGGAAAACTGTTTAATAACCGTGTGGTATTTCCATTGTTTTAAAAAGTGCCTGTCTGCCTGATGTGGTCCTTTTAACCGCTAGAAAACTTTTTGTGTTCTTTTTGCTGATATTGTTTATTTAGCAGAAAGGAGTTCCTTTTGATTTTTTTTCTGCATCAACACAGCACTGTTCTGTGTTTCACTTTATTCCCCCTTCAAACTTTTCGGTGGTGTTGCTTGCAGGTAACCCGCTTGCTCGAGAGGTTCTTCCTGCAGGGTAAATGGAGGCGGTTCAAGTGGAATCTTTTTTTTTCCTCTTTGTTTTTTTTCTTTGTTTTGGAGTTTTGGGGGGAGCAAACCACACTTGTTTGAAGAAAATGTATGTTCGAGCTTGATCAGCGTTTTTTTGGGTGGGGGTTATAATTTTGGGGGTGTACAAAAAATATAGAACAGAAAGATTTGTGTTCAACTAAACAGGCCCTCAAATTTAAAAAAAAAAATCAGGCTCAGATATCACAGTAAGTAAATAGGAGTAGATTAAGACAAGATCATCATTGTTTCAGTATTCATATTATATATTATATACATATTGTGAGATTTTTGTCCAGTGGTGTGCTGTAATATTTTTCTTGTGTACAATACTGTATGTGTAAAGTTCTGAACTAATCCGGAACAGAGACGGATTCCACAAATGCAGATCGGGACAAAAATAATCCTACAGCAAAAAAAAACTTATTACAGAAAAAAACTATGTGAAACTGAGTACAAATTAGATCGCTGGATGAACAAAGCCAGGAGAAAACCTAACTAAAAGCGTTTGTAAAAGGCAGGGAAATAAATAAGAACAAGAAAAATCCAGTCGTGAGCAAGAATAAGCAACACAAAATTAGCAAGAACACTACTTACAACACAAGACAAACCACGGCATGGACAAAACGACATGAGCGAGACTCGAACGTCGAGAAAATAAGCACTTGGTACGTGAGCTGCAAGCAAGGGGAATAGCCCGACGGTAAATTGTCTGTGTAGCAGTCCTTAAGGAGTCCACTGATGGTAATACGTGACATGTGCGGCGTCAGAGGAAAACTCTCATAACTCCCGCCGGAAATTGATACTAAAAGCAAACAGGAGCATGACAATATGTTTAATTGGGTCAATAAAGGTTGCGAAAACTGCTCTAGAGGTTGCATGAAGGGAGTGGTAACTAGATGCTAAAAATAGATGCCACCGAGCACAGTCATAAACAAAACAGACACACCTTTCTTTTGCTTGTTTATTACAACTTCTTCTACAGTTTTTCATTGTCAAAAAAAAAACATCACTTGCATAATCTTCAACTAAAAAAAAAAAAAAATCAGCTGCAAACAATGATAAATATCCTCATGTAAAGACCCTGTAAACTGAAATCATCAATATGTTTCTAAATACATTATACATTTTTAAAGATAATTGCTGAAAACATGCAAAGACTGAAGTTTACACACAGTTTTTCAAAAAAGACATTTTATTTTCATGGACCCCTTGCAGTTACACCCCAGCCGGCTCGAGGTCCACGGCCTTAGTTCACATCAGTGGTTATCTGATGCAATTGCTAGCTACTTTGTTGTTATTATGGCACATATTTCTACCGCTACCGCCTGCAGTTTGATAGCAAGCTACGCCTACACCTGAAAAGGAACCTTCCCTGAATGTCACAATTGACAGAACAGCTTGCGGACGAGTCCATTGCCCGTCTGCCATCTTCTAGAGGTCCTGGAAACCTGTTAGCTTGCTATATAGCTGGTGGCTACCGGCTCTCGTTTCGCCGTCTCAAGCCTTGCGACGCCCCGTGGGATACTTTCCAGCCCCAGGGGGCTTTATGCAGATATATTTTCAGAGCGCAAACATACAGGGATATGAAGCCAGAAGAAATTCATGGACTAAGTTGCATCCATTTTTTTCAACAGGCCATGGTTTCACACATTCACTAGCTACACCTACCACGTTTGATAGCGGAGACAACAGAATGACTTCATGATTTTGAAGCCTCATCTTAGAGATTTTTTTTTTTCAATCATTCCGGTTTGGAAGGGTTCTCTTCTCTGTTATGTGTCATATTTAGGAGCTGGATTATGATTAGCGTTAGGGTTAGTCTAAAATAACCCATTAGAACACATCTTTGTGTCGTGAAATAACTCAGCCATGCTGACAAATAAGCAGTGTGTTATGGACGGATGTCCTGATGTAAACAGTACATTTGATGGCAAATTCAGTATTCTCCACTTTCCTGTCTGTGGAAGGGTGATTGCAAGAGAATGGGCAAGATTCCCATTTCACGTTTACCGTTTGCACTGTCATTTGTTGCCAAACCATTTCATTGTGATACACAAAGGAAGAAACAGCACTGCATAGCACAGAGAAAAAATACATTTAAAAAAAGTAAAATATGTGAACACTTTACAATCTCCTGAGGGATGATTGTACCTGCAGCACTGTAGGAATTACAGTGCAGTCTTCCTACTTCCTTTAGACCACAAATTCTCATTCATATCACAACAATTATCCTCACTTACTATGAGCTATTTCAAGAAACTGGTTGATCATTGGTTGATTCACTGCTGCACACATTTCCTTTCATTAGGAAAACTTACGATACGCCTGGGAAAAAAAAGTCCAATGGAAATACTGAAATATGCAAGCATAAGCGTTTTGGA